GGTTAGCATAGCTAGTCTTATAGTAATATATGTACTAGGCAGTGTTAAACTGCAGATTAACTGTAGAGACATAAAGGATATTCATGTACCAACCGACTTCCAGTTAGTTTGTAAAGACACTTGGTGTCTGTTTGGATATTAAATGTATTAATAAAGATCACATGCTGTGTGCACATTCCACTTTAAAAAAAAAAATTATTATTATTATTGAAAGTTATAAGATATAATAAATATTTGCTTTTAAAGTAAGATAACTTAATAATTATTTTTTCATAATACTTTATAAATTTTCTTTCAAGTTATCAAAAAATTTTTATTTCAATTCAGTAATAGATTACTTTAACAATTACTTATTTTAGAAAAATAGCCAAAATAGCAATAAGTACTAATAGCTGAAATAATGTGTACTTATTTGCAGATAATATAGGTCTAGAAAATTTCAATTACAGAGTTCTATTAATCAAAATATAGATACTATTCTCAGTTCTTCTATTTAACTTAGAAATAGAACTAAATGTATAATAGCAACATTAATAACATCTTGATATGTTAGTATTTTAGTTACATCAAAAAAAAAAAAGTTGTCGATCCCGTGTAACTGCGAATTATGTAAGATTTACAAACTTTCCTTTACCAATCGAAAGCGATTTAACATTACCTGCATGTAAACAATAATAAATAACAGCAACATAAAGAATTAAAGTTGATTATCTTTAAAAAATTGATATAGTCAAAATACATTATCTTCATCTTATTCGTACATTCAATGGTTTAAATTAAAAATTCGATATGCCGAATGTTTCGAATGTTTTAATTTTGACTAAATACATTAAGTTAATTACAAGATCGTTACCTTTAAACAAAACAATGGTAAAATAAATGGTATTCTAACCTTGCACCAAAAATACTCACCTGATAAAAAGTATAAAAGAAACAATAGTTTCAAAACTAATACTGCGAAATAAAGTAACTTTAAAGCAAGAAATACGTTGTTACCTTTGTCCAGAGTGAGAAAATACTTGTAACGCGCTTCAGAGTTAAAGCCTTACCTTATTTGGCGCCTTAATCTAAGCGATCAGTTCATCGTTACGCAAAGAATAGTCTGAGTTAGAAACAGACTGGCCAGTAGCGACAACACTATAATAGGAATATCATTAGCAAAATTAACTCAAATGAAAATGCAATAAACACATTTAGCAGATGCCTGAAAAATAGCAGAAGTACTTCGAGAATAACCACAAGTAAAGGAATTAAATTACCCTGTGTGCCTCCACGACATTATAAATTGAGTAACGAAACAATAACAAAGCATGGCGATACACCAAATAATTATAATAATTACAAATGTTCTGGACTCGCATTTTTGTCGCCTTAAAAATAAAAAATTTTAAAAGCATTGATTCACCTTTTCTTTATTCCCCGGCGGCCAGTGGGTCTACGTAAAATCTTTTAGTAAACAACTAAAGGCTTGTCGATGCTACTGAAACTTCACAAAAATCAAACTTTACCAAAACATAATCCTGTTCGGTAGATTTTTTCTGAATGGTAATAGAGACTTTACAAACAACAACCATATCCTCGGTGAAATGAAAACAACCCACCTCTTATTGGTCATTATTACGACACTTTTGGCATCAGCAGTCAATGCAGACCTTTCGCAATGGCAAGCTGTTTGTGTCAATAAAACATTAGGTCAAAGGGTCAACTGCATGGACCTCCCATTTAATAATCCTTTAGGACCAACACGATTTATAAATTATGGAACGACTTGTGTTCTTGAAATTTATGATACAGATACGAATCATCTTAACAGGAGTTGTGAATGTGGATCAAAATATTCAAAAAAAGAAATGTTTCGCTGTTCGTCATTTACTAGCGAACGTGGATTCAGTGGGCCGCAGCAACTTGATTATCTGGAGTGCAATCAGACAGATGCCCTTAATATAGTGGCCGAAATTGCAAGCAATATCAGTTGCTATTTAGCCGATGGAGAGTATATCACAACAATTGGAGTGCACCCTGTTGTCTATTCACGGTACTGCAAATGTTCTTTCAACGGACATGAACAAGAAATGCTAAATCAAACAGCTGTATCTAAAATTTCTGGTTACCGATATGATCCTGATTGGTGTTTTAGCACTAATACGACTACACGTGAGACGGCCAATAGCAATGGTTGTTGCTACGGATTAGTTTCGGTACATGAAATGAAAGACGTATGTAAAATGTTAAGTTCAGCTAATAAGCTTTCACATGCTCAAGTTATAAGACAATTGTTGATAGTTGTTGCCCTGGCAAGTCTACTCGTATTCTAATTGCTCGTCATCAATGAATCAATTAAGATATGTACATTATCAATATTCCTGCGCGACGCGTCATAATCAGAAATTTTTTTAAATAAACAAGAAAAAAAAATTTCAAAACATATTATTAAATCACATTAAAAATATTATTACATATAAATTTTTTAAAAAAGTATAAATTTTGTTTATGTAATTATTATTATACAGAGAACCCCCTAAATATACACTCTCTAAATACACACCTTCTCTAAATGCATTATTTTTTATAGCTCCAAGTTGGATCAATAATATTAAATACACCCTCTATATTTTAACAGTGCAATAAATTTTCAAAAACTTTTATATTAAAATTAATTCTCCAAATGCACTTTATATATAATTTGTGAAGTTAGCCAAAATTAATATGACCGGAATTAACATAAAGCTAGGCAAAATTAAAATAAATGACCAGAGTTAACATAAAGCTGGGCAAAATCAAGATGACTAACTGGAATTAACATAAAGCTAGATAAAATTAAAATAATTAACCAGAATTAACATAAAGTCAGACCAAATTAAGATAGCTAACTGAAATTAAAATAAAACCAGGAAAAATTAAAATAATTGATCAGAATCAATATAATGCCAAATAAAATTAAGATGATTAATCAAAATTAATATAAAATTAAATAAAAAAATTTTTTTAAATGTATATTTTTTTTAAATACATATTTATCTTTGGTTCCAAGGAGATATATTAGAGAAAAAATTTTTTAATTTGATAATTATGATTAAATAATATCAAAAAATTAAATTAAAATTATGATTTAATTTATTACGTATATATATTATTAAAAAAATTTCAAAGATAATATTGAAATATATATAAAAATATTTTTTAAATCTTTAAAAATCAAGATATAAATTATGTTTAAAACAAAATTTAAGTTTTTCAATTTTATTTTTTAAGAGTATTATTTATAAAATTTATAAAAAATATGTTTTAAAATAAGAATAGTTATATTTAAATATATAATTTTTGAAATTCAAAAAAATATATTATATACAAATTTTGTAATATTAAAAAATTAAATAAAAATCAAAAAATTAATTTAAACAAATAAATTCAAATAGTAAAAAATATAAAATAAGAATAATATTAATTAATTGATTTTAAAAATTTTATGTAACTATGCTTTTTTTAATTTTGTATTTTTAGTTTTATACAATAACTTTGATTATTTGTTCAATAAAATATTAAAAAATTATATTTCAAAATTATTTATTATATTAATTTATAGAAAATCAAAATATTTTTTGTTTATATATATTTATACAATTATTAATTAAATAATAAATTTAAATAAATTGATAAAATATTTAATATATAAATAATTTTTAAAATAATTTTTAAAATAACTTGTTTATCAATAAATATCAAAATTAATCAATATTAAAACTAATTATATCAGTTAATATAATATTAAAACTAATATTTTTTATATAAAATTAATGATTAGAATTTAAATAAATAATAACAATAAAAATCTTTTTACCAATTATTTTTTTATTATTTGAATTTAATAATAATTTAGTCTTTATCTCTTAGCATGTATAAATATCAGAAGTATTATTAGTTATATTAGATATAAAAGTATTATATATATTATTAAAATTAAGAAAAAAAAAAACTCTTTTCCATATACATCATTTTTCTTAAAAATTTCCTTTTATAGTAACTTTTTAAAAATTAAAGAAAAAAATATTCCTTTTGCTTCCTAATACTTACAAGTCCTCTACACCTTTCTAGTCTTCACTACAAAAGCCTTAAGGAAACCAAAGAAATATACTGGTGCATCAAAATAGAACCTCTAATTAAGAAGAAGCAAGTTTGGAGATCTTGCTCTTTTCTTAAATTGCATGAGAAAAGACTCATGGCAATTATTTTTTTATAGATTTTCCTTGAGGCTTTTCCCATTTTCACTTTTTATTAAAACACTTCTTATCAATATAGAAATACTTTTAAATATTTCTTTTCTTTTATTAGAGAATCTTCTTTTAATACAAAATTCAAAACTTTACATTAAAATTGCATATATTGTTGGCTTGGGGAACCAGCAATATATACAAAATATAACTTTCAATATTATCCAACACACTATACTGCACCACAAAAAATCCAAAAATTTTTTTCAAAAAACTTTTTATCAAAAAACCATAATCAGTTTACCCTTGGTAACTGATCTACACTCTAGTTCTAACCAATCATATTTTACAAAATATCAAAACACATCTATCACATTTATCAAAGATCAACATAAACAACAATTTCAAAAATGGAAATCTGTACAACCACATGTCCTTTTACTATTAATAAATATCAAAACAACAATCATGTCCTATCAAATATCAATCAAAAATCAACAACAATATATTACTATCATAAAATAACAATTAACAAGTCCAAACAATTATCCAAAAACTTTTTCAACATTTTTGCTTTTTTTAAACAATAGCCTGGAAATGGCTCATATCAACAGTAGCCTGGGAGTGGCTATTATCAATCAACCTACACATTATTTAATCAACCACCATGTAAATAATAACAAAATTATTACTAATATTACCACTAATCAACTATTATCACCACATATTACCAGCTATCAAGAATCTATGTCATTAATACTATTATATATTTTGAAGAGTAACCTGGCCATTCAGAAAGTATATCAACATATACTTTGTAGAAGTGGAACTACTGGAGTAGTATATCCAATAGACCTCTTTTATTTTATAATTAGTTTTTATTACATTTATACTTATTTAGTATATTTTCTTTTTCATTTCATTTTTGGTTTACTTTTTATTCATTATATCTTATCAAAATTTTTTGAGTAAGTAAGCATAACCACTATCCTCAGCTATATTTAGCATACAATATTGTTTTAAAATTTCTTTTTTAATATTAGTTAAGTATAGATAATATAGGCAAGCTAGTATTAAACTTGCTGTTATTGCATGTAAGAGATGTTGTTTCTTTTATGATGTATATTTTTAATATACAAATTAAATAAGAAAATGATATTTACCTACTGGAAAAAAAAAATAAATAAATAATAACAATAAAACAACACAATCTCTTCCTGCTGATCTCTTAACCAACATTCCAAAATGGCGTTTAGACTAAAGTATGTCTTTATTCTTAACAAAACCTATACACTCTCTTTAATACAACTTGACAGACCTTGACAAGACACCCCCACACCCTCCACTGTTTTATTTATCCCTTCAACAAAGTAAAAACAAGAAGATTTCTTAGTTTTTACTCATCCAAGCTCCGATAGCAAGAAAGAGTTCCCTAGGAAAGAAGACAGTTTATTTGACTTCCCTCTTTCTTTTCACTACTGTAATATCAGTATCTCTATCAGGAAGGACAATCCCAAAAGCTAAAAGGTTGTTGGATATCTTGGTCTTCAAAAACCTCCACAACATAAATACAGCTACCTTCCTAGTGTATCTTTAAAATTCTTCAGTTTTTCTGGAGAAATTTGTCTATCTCAGTTTGATCCTGAATTTTTGGTTACACCAGATCTGCTGGGTTTTCATTGGTTGAAAATCTGGATTGAACAACAATAAACAAGTAACAGATAAACAAAACAAGAACACGTTCCTATTTGTATTACACAATTCCAATGATGTCATCATTTTAAACAGGAAGAACAAGGCAATGAGATGTCCATTTTGACATAGTTGGGCTTGTATGCATACCCTCTACTTTCCCCTTTTTTCTTCTCTTTCCTTTATTCTTCCCCTACATTTATAAATACAAACAAGATAGACAGAATATTTTTCTCCTATGGAGTTTTTTGATTCTGATCTATGATTTGTGGAGGACCACAAACTGTAAACTGCTTAGTAAGATCTTTAACATGACTCCCCCTGCCATAAGGGCTGCTAAGCCCATCAGTGATATTCACCATTCTTATCTTTAGTGAAGATACTCAATTAGTAACATTTGCCAGAATGAAAGACTTCCCTCAAGACATAGCCTAACTTTGGAAGAGTTGTGCCTTTTTAAATAAGCAGTCTATGCTTGAAGTTAGGTACTATCTAAAGGATTGAATCATCAACCCTGCCATAGGTTTTAAGGTATTGGCTAGACCTAGGTTCCATCCGCTTTTCAAATTGTAATCCTCCAGGCAGCCACCTAAATGATTAAATATTTCAAGATGCTGGCAAGGACAACAGTATTAGATTTCCATCCGAGTATGAAAGAATTGTATTTAGATCACGATGGAACTCTATTTTCTTGGGTACAAGAAATAAGTAACTGAAATCGTGCCATCTAGCTAATACAATCACTTTAGAAAGATAGTGACAATTGAACCTGGGGCCTTAGACAATTGGAATAGGATCAATAAAGCTAGCTGTTGAAACCATTCCCCTTCGCTGTAGCTATTAAAGTTGCTGAAAAAGAAGTCTCACCCTCTCTCCTTTGAAAAGAATAAAGACACAGTACTTCGATGGGTAATCCGTTAGGTGTTGAGGAATCTTAATGAAAAAGTTTACAAATTTTAAGGTTGGAAGATGTAGAAAAGTTGGTCTGTTTTATAAATTTTTTTTAGGTAGATCAATCAAGAAATACTGTTGCTTTTGCTGATGATAAGCCTCATAGTAGAACATAGTTTTTAGTGATATTCAAATTTATGCCACAAGTTTAAGTTAGTTACCTTTATATGCATCGAGTATCGACAAGGAAATTAATGTATATTTCAATATAATTTGAATAAAGGTGTAAACCATCCATTTAAAAAAAAAAATAAATAACAATAAAACAATTTCTTTATAATATAATTTTATATAATTTATATTAAATTTATATTAAATTTATATTTAATATTAATTAATATTTTCAAAAAATATTGAATTTAATTAATACTTTATTAAAAATTTCAATTTGATATTTTGATTTAAAATTAATATTAAAACTGAAATTAATAAATTAATAATAATATTTATATATAATATATTAA